ACTTCCCAAAAACCGCGGCCCCCTAATTGTACATCAGTTATGTTTATTTAATGATACTTTTTGTACGAGTGCTCCAGCGCAGTTCGAGTGGCGGCGCTGATTGATTGCAATTTTACCGCCGACCAATTACTTTTATGAGCAATATTTTTTATCACTTTAATTGATTTCTGTATGAAGAGTAAGACGACGATAATTGGAGCATTGTACTTGTTCCTTTTTAATAAGTTTCTTTATTCGGAGAAATGGTTTAAGAAATAATAAGTTCTGTGATGTCATCATATTGTCGTCATAAAAATTCTATTGTGTCGTCATATAATTTCTAAACTTAGTCAAACAAGCAAGTCTTTTTAATAATTCACATTTCATCAAAGTTTACTGAATATATGACCAAAAATAAAGTGAAACATTATATCTTAACATAATATCGAGACAGCTGATAAAGTTACTGACTTAATTAAAATGTCAATTATTATTTAGAAATATCAACAATGAATAATCAAGCAGAGCATCGCTAGATAAATAAGTATATATTTTTAGAAATAAAACTGATTGGATTATATTAAGTGAGAGTTGGTGGTGATATTGCCGTCATGTTTATCAACTGTGGTTATGTTGAACTTTCAAGCACTAATTGAACATAACCGGCTTATCAGTCAGCCGAGTAGTTACGATCCATGTCCAAAGTGGAGTAAAAACATGGCGTCGTGCGAGAAGACTAGTTATGATAACTCAGGCAGCTTTCATTCGACGCAAGGCTTCTGCACGCGTATCTTTCTGACGCGTAGCGTTCTGAATGTTGTTACTAAACCGTAATACCAAGTTTATAAATTCCACTAAAATGATTGGCCATACAGTAAATAAAATCGTGACAACTCTTCTTGAGTCATTACGAACTGGAAACTTAACTATCCAAACTCGTAGGTATCTCCTTGAGAAAAAGTTTTAGCAAGAAAACCTAGGAATAAGTATCGAGTACTTAAAATTGTATAAGCGGCTATGATTGAGGTTGATAAATGCTACTGACAATGCAATTCATGTGGCTGAATTTTGGGCCGATATCGTGTAAATAGGTATGGCCATCGACACGAAAAGAAGAAGATTGAGGTTGGAATTGTTCTTTTATAATTCTTTCCATTGTTCTTTACATGAATGATGAACAGGAGAATGATCTTCAGAAAAGTAAGTTGACCGTTAGAAGCCCTAAGCTGGCCGCTAGATGGATAATAACGAGGTGAAATCAGCACCTAAACGGGAGAGGGCCGAGGCTTATCAGCCCTCAGCTGCATGACTCGGCGTGAGGTCGCTGTTTCCGTCTTCTGGACGTAACGACCGCTTTCATCATACTCGATGTATGTTTCGAAAAAACAATCATATAAAACGATCGCAAGCAATAAATCGTAATGAAAATTTACGAAAAGCGTCGTCTATCAACGCTATGTGGTTGACGGTGTGCGCGCGCACCCTAAAAATTCTACTCTCATAATTTTTTCCAAAGGAAACAAAAGAAGTCTTCAAAAAGTATTAAGTTAAAAAGTTGTTTTTTTTTTAAGTTGTAATTTGTCGTCAGCGTTAATTCCCAAAAGCATGTAAGTATTTTTTTAAAACGTTGCCCTTACTGTACGACAACATTATCATGTGTTGTAAGAGCGTTTTATAAATATGAATTTCACGTGGACAAACACCCAGATGCGGAACAATTATCTGTCACACAAATAGTTGTCCCGTGTGGTAATCGAACCCGCACACGCACACGCACACGCACACACACACATAAACTTTTTGTAACGTAAATCTTTGTGATTTAAATAAAGATTATTATTATGAATGTTCAAAAAAATTAATAACGTTGCTTCATATATGGCGATTGATCAATCTATCACGACATCTCGCGGGCCATTTCTCTTTAATAGGGCCAATATAATAAAGGGCGTCGGCAGTAATGGAGTGAACAGGACCGCTCGCAACCGCACCGGTCACTCCTCTTATACAGATGTCATTTTTTGCTCGTTAAAGGCTCGGGAGAGGTGGACTTCTATCGCTCTCTGAATACAAAGTGTACCCGCCAAGTGCTCATGTGTTTGTTTATGAACTTATTATAGCACCATTTATTTCGTTACACATTGCGCCCAGGATAAAGCTTTGGGCTACTAGATCACGTTTATTATTATAACTCCAGAAAATCAATTATAAAATGAATACAGAGCGAGATTTGAAGTCGGATTTGTTTTTAATTCTAAAAAAAAATTGCTTAAATAAAAATATAAATGTAAGAGCGTGCAAGTCTTGATCAGAGTACTGCTCTACAAAACACCATATCGAGTTGCTAAACGAATTTATTCAAACTCTCACAATCATACCGGGGCGGACAAAAATCGAGTGCTTTTAAAGGTTTAAAATATGACCCAAATATGGCCTTTCGGAACAGGAAAAATTAGAACGGTGATTTTTAAATCTCACAAATAAAAAAATGTATCCCCAATCCACAGCCACTGGGTCTTCACTACGTTTTATTGTTTTCTTTATGTCAATTTTGAGTCGTATCGCTGTTATTGCATTAGATGAAGCATTCAAGTTACGGACCCGTTTCACTTGTTTAGGAGGTTACTCTTCTGCAAATCCAAAGCATTTGGTCTGTATCTATAAATCATCCAGTTAGTTTTAGTCAGATATCGCCTTCTTAGTTATTAAATAAGCCATCATCATCAGAAAAGACGGTTGAAATGAACGTGTATACGTTTTATAGCTCCACATACCGTGTTATGGGTACTTGCTAGCACTTGGCCGCCAGCGCTGCAGGCCAGTAATTAACTCCGTATCCCCACCCGACCCTCATAAATATGATCGCCCGATAGATATATTGACTTATTTACATTTACAAATTACTCTCCGCTGCTAAAGACTGTTATTATCTCTGTTGCGACTCTTGATATACATTCGCTTTTTTTTATATTCTTTGACGCAAATTGTTTCCTGCTCTATTAATAGATCCGATACTGCATTCCTCATTCTTAACCGTTCCTTATTTTTCCTAATTCATTTACGAAGAAGTGTATCGTACTCACCAACGTATATACAGAAGAAAATATTAGTAAACGGACAAACAAACTAACAAAATCCATTAGGCACGTTTTATATCGTGGTCACATTTCGTTTTAATATGGATTTGTACGAACGATTTGTACGAAATTAATGAAGTCATAAGCAGCGGTACAATGTCTCTTTAAGAATAATTGTAATAAGTGTAGGATCATACTCCCCCCCAGGTGGATTGATGACCTGTGCTGATGTAGGCGCAGTCTATCGATGCAGGTGCCTCAGGATCGACTATCGTGGCAGTTGGTGGGGGAGGCCTATGTTCAGCAGTGGAATCTAACAGGCTGAAATGATGATGATGATGATTGTTTACATAATTTACATTTTCAGAATTCATGAAGTCGCGAGCATAACCTAGCAACTAAATAAGTTACCTAAGCCAATAAAATTATACCAGCTTTACCAATACAATGCCAGAGCACATCGTCCAAAGGGTCTATTGTTCTTCTAACACTACAGTTAAGATAATTGTTAGAAAATGTACGCGTAACCAACACGAGAAACCTTGCACTGTTAGTGCGCATAACTAGAGCCATGCAGTTGTATTTATCCTAGCGTGTGTTCACTTGTTCGGGCCTAGGAATATATGTCTCCATTGTTGGGGTCCGTTAAATGGTACATTTGACCGAAGCCATTAAAGCAAGAACCGGCATGCCTTATTACCTCAGTACGAGTCAAATGGTGGAACAACTCGTTATTTATGAACATACTACCTGCTGTTTTGACCATTTGTTTCAGCCGTGCCTTGCACATGCTATGGAATTAGCAGCTCATTTCCCGTTGCTTTTTCAAAGAGGGTTTTGCTCAACTTTAAGCTTAAGCCGGTGTAACAAAATTAAGTCATACTGATGTAGGACTTAAATTTGTTACACCGTTACTGTCTTATCTGCTGCCAAGCAGTGATCCTCTTGGCATCAGATAAGACAGTAATCTAGCAAAAGATTGTACAACTACTCGAAATTGATCAAGTGTGTTGCGTTTGCTCAAATGCAAAATATAGTATTTACAACTCTATACTTATCCCGAAACTTTGTGTACGATTAACTCGGGCTAACTCATCCGCCACACCAGTCCCAGGCCCCACCAGTCCCAGGCCCCACCAGTCCGCGATGTAACTACACTCCGCAGTTGCCAAGGTTGCAGCAACCAAACCGTAACAATAAAACCTTAAATCATATCACTTCAGCAGTCCTCGCCTTTTATGAGAACGATATAAGACAAGAAGCTAAATGCAGCATATATACATAACATGTGTAGGTAGCAAGTTACTTGTATCGATCGATCTTCAATGCATTCCCGAGGCCAATTGCATAGTTTTTCGCTGCATTCCTGAAGCTTGTCCGGTTCCAGATTCTGAGTTAAGCCGGACTTATTCTCCAAGTCCACCGAATGCCTCGATAATTGCGAATAGGTTCGAGGTTGGAGCAAACCTACTTTGGAGCGTATTTGCAATGTAGATTTCGTAAGGGGATCGCGTGCATGCTTCGCATTATGGTTATTATGTGCTAACAAAGGACAAGAGCGAGAGAAGTTAGGTATTAGAAAATATTGTTTTTGTTTTTTATAAATGATGCAAATTAAATTTGTTTTTTTTTTTTTGCAAATTGATTCTTCAAAAGATTGGCGTGCCTATGCGACAGTTACCCATAGAATGAATGTTACATATTTTCTTTTACTCATTAAAACTTAACTAGCGAAAGGACAATTTAACTAATTATATAACGAATACAGTCAGGGGCACTTTTTTTAAATCTCAAGTATTATTTTAATCAAAAATCGTATAAAATTACACCGAACTTCCTGAAACAATATGAAACCGGAGATTAACATTATGATTCTTATTAAGGTTTAGACGCGTTTATTTACGTGTTCCAATTGAGTTCAATGCCACATATTTGTTGCGATCTATGACTGACTTCTTTGATTTCCTCTCAATGAATTCTATTCACCAGCCCTGGGCCCGACGAGAGGTGCGCGTTGGCTTTGGCGGCGGCGGTCTTCGTTCTCACAGCGCGGGCCCATTTCCTTATTTCACGCTCTGGCGGTTCTTAAGGCCGCCTTGCACGCAGACGTCAAAAGAATTTTCTAGAATTACGAGTAAATTAGACATGCTTATATTTTTTGAATGATCATCCAACACCTTATGACTTATTTTTTTTTATAAATTCTTAACAACAGTGTTATTAAAATATTTAATGCTACTGTGTTCTATGTTAGGTACACAGAATTTTGATGAATAAAACTTAAAAACAATCGCAATTACCGTGACGAATAAATAACAACAATAGTATTCGCTTACAAGTAGCTATTATTTCCAACATTTCCTTTCTTTTTTTGCCTGTATCATTGTAGAAAAAAAACGCAATCAAATCTTAAGGCACTTACCGACAAGTGTGGGTAATCTTTAACGCAAGGGCAGCGAAATCAAATTTGTGTTAATAAACGATTGTTACACGGCGGCTGAGCATCGGAACAGCTCGCTCACATTATCTTCGGTTTCGTGGTCTCATTTAGATTGCCACGAAACATGAAAACGAAAATGTAAGAAACTTTAATTATATGTTGCAGATAATTATTAAAATACGAAAAACGTAGAATGAACGACAGAAGCAACTTGATTCGCTGTTACTACCTCATATTACTCCAACAAGACAATAGTCTGTTAACTATGACGATAGAGAGGGCTTTACTATAACTTGTGTGTCAACGAGGTTTGGTCTACACGGGATTATCATTAACTAAACGACGCTGACACAGAAAATCTGAAAATTCATTGGCTCCTTTGGTCCGTACCTCAGGTCAGAAGCTGATCAATTTGAACGCTGCCTCTTTAACACTAACGAACTCGCCACAAGCGAGGAGTTCTTGTGAAAGTACGACCGGTTGTAAATCACAACGGTACCTGCGGCGGCTTTCGACTCTTGACATTTTCCGATAGCTTCAACATTGCTACACGTGTAAACAAACAGACAGACGAGCACACACCGTTGGAAGCAGCTCTCTAGGGCAGTGTGTTTATTCAACAGCCCGTTACCTAGCAACGGAAGAGGTCTCGTCGAGTCATCTCGCCAAGTGCCCATCGTTGCCGCGCTAAGCGCTCTCTCGAGTAACCCTTCAGAACACTAACGATCGCCTCAAGGAAACAGGAGTGGTTTCGCTTCCCATTTATCCCTAACACTCAACTTATTCCTCCCGGTAAATTGATTGCAATTAAACTAACACATGGTAATAACAATACAAATTTTTCTAAATATAATAGAAAGATTATTCAATAGCCATATCACCTTGCATTATACAATAATCTTAAAATAATTAATTTCTTCTACTTTTATGTACTCTTAATTATGGACTGTAGGCTATTAGAGGAGAGTAACTAAATGTGGGCTAGTGCTTTAATATGGGCTAGTAACAATTCTCGAAAACCTACAATCGAAAGACTCAACAATCGATGATCGTCTATCGCATTCATTCCCTCTAATATAGCACTCACTCATTCTCGTCATTCGCGCGCAAGCTGTCACCAGTGTCGGCCATACTTGTGTTGCTGCTGTCGAAAAATTTTATGCGGTACGTATCAATGTGTTATTTAATGAATGAAAATTAGGTTTAAATACTATAACTATGTGTTTTATTGCAGAATATAAGTTTAATTTATGATTTTCGGTCGATTTATTGCTTGCTATTATGATTAGTAAAGTACATGATTAAGTTGATTTTAGTAAAGAATTTCGAATATGGGCTATGACTATGGTCCTGAATATGGGCTATGGTCAAGGTCTGAGACTCAAACAGAAGAATCTACTTCTGGAACTGGACATGATCCAACAGATAACTGTCAACCTTCGTCTTCCGGAATCCATCGTAGCATTCTAGGTTTAGTATCTCCTTATGACATAAGTCCCATTCCAAAAAATGTCAGAAAGACAACTAATAGAGGTAGAAAAGCAGCTGTGGCCTCGCTTATAACTTCGTCTCCATATAAAAATGACCTTATTCAAACAAATAAGAAGAAAATTGAAAAAGAAAATGAAATAAAAGATGAGGAACCCAAGCAAAAGCAAAGAAGTATAGGAAATAAGAAAGCCAAGGACGAACTTGAAGTTGAATAAGATATCCCCTATAGGAAGAGAGGCTCCTGACACTGACGACGCAGCGTGTATGTTTTGTCAGGAACTTTTTTCCGAAAACGCGGCAGGAGAATTGTGGGTCAGATGTTTAATGTGTAAGCTCTTGGCCCATACCTAATGACTGTGCTGGGCCAGAGTTTGATACCTGGATATGTAATTTTTGTAAGTAATTATGTGATTTCTTCCATGTACCAAAGTAATTTGATCTCTTATAAGATAAATATTTATAATTGTTATTTGTGTACAAGATACTTTAAGTTTCTATTTGTAGCCCATATTTGAGTACCTGTTCCATATTTAGCGCCTATTTTGATATTTTGTTTAATGCTCAATTTAATAATATATTATAATATTAAGAATATAAGATTGTTAATTAGTTCTTTAAAAATATATGTGTAATTATTTTGACGTCAATAAATGGTTAATTTTTTAATAGTTTTTTATTTCTGAGGCAAAAACAAAATGGTAGCCCATATTTGGTTACTCTCCTCTAATATATTTTAAAAATATATAAACGTTCTTAACCGGGTACTACGTAAATAGATAACTAAGATAAGATAGAAGAATAATCTATGGTAGTCAATAATAGATTTTATAGCTCACTGTAAAAAAAAAGAAAAAATATTGTTAATATTTTTGTTACTTGCAATTTTAAGTTCTAAGAGTAAAAGAACAATAAATCCTGCATATTTTAGAAGTAATAACAAAAATATAAAGAATTTTGTGAAATCTCCCAATCCGCATTGGGATCGCGTGGTGGACAATGTTGTAATTACCCTTTATACGCAATAGGCCTTTGTCCATAAGTGGCACATAATATTTGTATATACCGTTAGTTTTTTAACTTTAATTTTTATCGATAAATATAAGTCATTTGGTCTTGTACTAAGTACTCGATTTACTTTTAAAACGCCAATAATGAGACATTATTGTACAACTCCACTAAATGTTTTTTTTAGTTCATATTTCATGAAAAACTTGTTTGAGATTTTCAGCTATTATCGTTGATTGTTTCATTCGTTATCAAAATGGTCTTTTCCTGTTTTAAGTCTCATTATAAAACTTATTGTAACATCTCACGAATATATCACGTAATTATGTAATTAGTGGACAGAAATTAATGAGCTAATCAAGAAGATTTTTATTTTAAATCGTTATATCGTATAAATCGTCAATAAATCTGATTTATTACACAAAATTTCACTAAGAAGCACCATGGCGGTATCAGCAATATTGAAAAGTAAAGAAATAAATCCCGAAATGATTGCTTTCGTTAACTTTATCACAAAGTAATTTGTTTTCTTTTTAATTACGAACGAAATATAATCAACAGATATGTCAAGGTAATGGCGCGTTAAAATAATTGAATATTTTCACATCATTAGCGTCGTAAATTTTATCAAATATGGCATCGTGGCGATGCACTTAAATGTGCTCGTTATCGACTCGCCTTAATTAATATTACAAAGGCTACGTGTGACAAGAAGACCTGAAGCTCAGAGGAATTTCCAGTAGATTATATTAATGCATCATCATTATTTTTATCATCCTCCTAATAGAATTATTTACTTGGAGAAAAAATATGAATGATTATCTAGAATTAAACAAATGTGTCATTTTAAAATATATAGAAAACAAAGAAACTTTAGATAGGTGTTATAAAATGTTTTTTTGAAATTGGACGCAAAAATAGTTATTAAATAGCCAAAAAAAGTGATTTGACCCCGACGTGATTTGAACACGCAACCTTCTGATCTGGAGTCAGACGCGCTACCGTTGCGCCACGGAGTCCTTGTAGCGCTCGAGCGAAATGACTCATATATAGATAAATACTACGTCATTCAAAAATTATCATATAATGATACCATATCATGTATTTACGGAAAATTATATCAAATTGCACATGTATACTCAAACACATAACTGATTTTAGCACATTTGCTAATACTAACAATGTCTAGGATACAACGTGAGAACATGTAGTTAAATGACATACAGTATCTGTTTGGATATCCCATTGTGAAGAGTGGCGTACTGGAATGAAATTCTTAAGTCGGTTTGATACTCCGGCTAAGTCCATCTACGTTGTCGCAGTTTTCGACTTATGAATCGAGTAGTGCTTGAGCCTAACACTACGTTTTTATTTCCAACACATAATGGTCCGATCGTTATGAGCGTATTAAGAAAAAGCTGGCAGGCCCTTTAAAGTCTCACCTCAGTGAATGGAGCGGACATCATTAAAACTTTCTCGATTTATATCTCAGGGAAGAATGGCGCGCGCGTTGAGCCATTCTTCACAAAAGTTAAAAGCCCCCTCGGCGGGCCCTAATCCCTGTTTAAAAGAAATCTCGTTTATCCAGTTTGCCTCCCCCATCGCTGCAAAGCGCCACACCCTGCCACACCCTGCCATCACTCATTCTTAACTCGATCGCTTTTCAGTCGGAGGCTTTCGAAACGAATCTCGGCAATAGGGCTCACTATGTCTTTCTATGCTCAGGCGTACAACTTCCATATTTCAAAGTGCCATAATTGAAAATACGCCAATTATTTTATGTGTTATGTACACATAAAAAATCATGTCTTAAAATTCGCTAGCGACAGCTCATCAAGCGCACATGCTATCCTAATATTGATTTATAGAATATGATGAAATAAATAAGTTTTTAATAAATATGTAAAATATGTAAAATGTATAAATATGTAAAATCAAATGAATGTATTATATTGGCATAACAATTAATATAAAACAAAAAATGAGTATCGGAAAATGAGACAAACCTTAGTCTTTTAATTCTAAAGGTTTAAGTGATATATAGCAATGAGCATTTCTTACGAGTATAAATTTAACTTGTGACTTTTTTGCCTGATTTTTTCTGCAAGTTAAATGCAAACCTATGATCATTATACGCAATAATTTTTGTTATTGCAATGTTCAATCAAGAATAAATGGATGCATTCTCATTGCGACGTAACCGGTTCGAATTAATTGCCCTTAGTGCAGAGCCCGTTACGGTGACTGCAGTCAATTATTGGCTTCGAGGGCCCAAAAGTTCACACATTTGGTGCAACCATTTCAATTAATCAGTATTCGGTAAATTTAACAACCTTGACAATTTAAGCCACGGTTTTTCCATGTAAAACGTTAACGTTAGTTTACTTTTTTACTTAATGAGGCCAAGGGCTATAAAGTTTACAAACGCGGTAATAAAGCAAGTAAATATTAATTGTATAACCCTCCTGCATGCATCTACATTTCGCTGTAATCGATCGCCATGAATACGTTTAGCTCGTAAGCTGTCGTAAGCGGCTATAACGTTGCCCTCGCAAAAGATTCCGGGCTCTTAAACGCGCCATTTGGGGCTGACGCCGGACTCAGCGTTTTAGGCTCGCTGACTGGGCTCCGAGAGGCCGACGCGACAACCGCAGGGCCCCGCCGACAATCTGGCCACATTCAACGGCCCAGTTTATGTTCGCGCGCCGCGCCGCTGCACGCACTCGCCCGCGGGCGTACACTGCAAAATGGGGCTACTAAACCAGCGAGTTTTCCTTAAAGTGAATTTAGGAAACGTCTTTGTTTTGTCTGGATTTTAATGAGGCTCTGGTACTGAACCGGAGGCAGACCATTCTATAAGCATCAGAAACCGCAACATAGCTCAACAAATAAATCTTCGCTATATTCTAACATAGTTTTGACACATTATCTCAACCGTTTAGAAGTTAAAGGATAGTTATACTGTAACTTATATTTTATCCTAACAAAGATGACACAATTAGTTGCTAGCCATGTTTTTGCAAAATCGTAACAGATCATGACCCTGTCTGAAGATAGCGAATACTAACATTGAATCCTACTACTACATCGATCCACTAGGCTACTACAACATTTTCTAGTTTTAGTATCCATGTCTATATTTCTGTCTCATTAGACCATACTCCATTTACTTGTTACTAGGCTACCCTGACTTACCCATCTTCGACAACGTATTTTATTAAATGTCCATTGAAAAGATCTTGTCTTTAGAGAAATGCGAGGATATTATAAAAGATAAGGTTTAACATCTTTCTTTTAGTATCTTTATTAAACATACGAAAAATTATTTTATGAAATTTATTGCGTATTTTCTTTTAAATTCCTGACTGCTAAATGTTCTACAGAATATGCTGCCCCCATATTAATATTAATTTATTAAAAAATATACTCTCCAGCATTCCTAATAATACTTTTACGCATTTAATAAAGCATAGATAGCACTGGCCTTTATTTATCTAACCGATAACGATAAAAGAAGTTGATAGCTTATTGCTTACAAGTGACATAATCAAATTGATTTAAATAATATCAGATAATAGATAGTTTCCCCTTTGAGCGTAACAACGCTCTTTTCATAGCCACATAAATAGGTCGCTGATTTTAAGGAGTGTGCGCCCTCTCGACACGAGCCTCGACCATAAATCCGAGATCAGCCACTACAAGTCGAAGTTATGACTATCAATGTAACGTTACCCATCAAAAA